AGGCCCCAGCCCCTGGGGAAGCCTCCTTCGCCCCAGCTCGGGGCTAAGGAGTCGGGGGTCTGGGTGCACTCCAGGGCCCTGGGAGGCCGCGCCCCCAACCTAATCATCTCGGGCCTCTGCCCCTGGCACGCGGGCGCCAGCTCCTGGGTCCTGCCGCGTACAGAGGAAGGCGCTTGTGGGCAGGAAAGGTACCGGCGAGGATCTAGAAGGCAGTTAGAGCCGGACCGAGCTAATTATCACTGAGAGTATTGCGCTGCCGTAGATTCCGAGAGTAGGAGGGGGAATACATGCCCTGTTCTGACCTGAGCCAGATCAGGCCGTGGGGTTGACAGTGCCTGTGGTGGGTGTTGTGCCCAGTGCGCCTGCTACTGAACTGTTAAAGATGAGAAATAGACATTTTAAGCATCCGTTAGGACCCAGCATTCATTCGTCTCGCCAGTGAGCCGTTCCTGCCGTTCTGGAGATGGCATAGTCTGGAGCTGACTAGTAACCTCACCCCAAGTTAAAGAATTCCTCCCACTACCTCCCTTTGCAGAATTCATGAATGAAGATACTCATGTCGCGGCGTTTTAGGGCTTGTTAATCAGCAGGTTCCCAGAGCACTTACTATGCCATCTCCTAGACTGATCAGCAGCCAACCTGATCAGCCAAGTTAATGAGAGGGAATTCCTCATTGTCCAAGCATAATGTACCAATTCATACCAAAGAGCGATGATACTATCTTTAGACCTGTGAAATCAGTTCCTCAGAAGCTTTTAATTTTTGTTAGCAAGCCTAAACCCCTGAGAAAACATGTCAACGATTGGCAAGCCCGAAGTAGACGTAATTTGAGCTTGGAGTGAATTCTTTGAAAAAACAATGACACTGACCTTTTAGGAGCCCTTGCATGGTGGGATGATGGATATCAGTGGTAACTACTCAGTTTTTCAAGTGTGGAAGGTTACAAAAGTGGAGGGGGGTGAACCTACCTTCATCATGAGAGGAGTTATTTTGAAAAATGGTTTAAAATTTGTCTGAGTAGCTATGAATGGTCAAATACCCTTTGACGAATTTTAATTTCTCTTTTTACCTTTTAATTTCCACATAGCGGACGGGTCCAGTGGCTCAGGCCTGTAATCCCAGCACTTGGGGAGGCCGAGGCGGGCGGATCACCTGAGGTCAGGAGTTCCAGACCAGCCTGGCCAATGTGGTGAAACCCCATCTCTACTAAAAGTACAAAAATTAGCCAGGCGTGGTGGCTGGTGCCTGTAATCCCAGCTACTCAGGAGCCTGAGACAGGAGAGTTGCTTGAACCTGGGAGGCGGAGGTTTGCAGTGAGCCGAGATTGCACCATTGCACTCCAGCCTAGGTGACAAGACTGAAACTTTCCCCCTCTCAAAAAAAAAAAAAATTTCCACATAGACTCATTACATGAAAGACCAGTCAAATAGACACATTTAAGCAGAGACCTGTCTAAATCCATTTCTTTAGAGAGGCTGCCGGGCGCGGTGGCTCAAGCCTGTAATCCCAGCACTTTGGGAGGCCGAGACGGGCGGATCACGAGGTCAGGAGATCGAGACCATCCTGGC